GTCTCTCACCTAGTTTTCCTTCAAATGATCAATGAAAAACTATGAGTTGGATGCTAATACTACCTTTTGATGTCTTTAAAAGATTAAATGGAAGGAACAAAAGAAAGAGACTCCACCATTTTTTCTACCCAGTTTTTCTTTTCATTTTCTTTTATGACTATTCAGCCCTAAAGTCTAAAGGGGAGAATACTAAAGAAATAGAATACACACGTGAGCTATGCTGAAAATCAAAGTTGATAAATTGTTTTTTTTTTTCCTCATTAGGATAAGCTCTATTAAGAGTACATTTCTCAGGATACTTTGGAAATGGATATATGGGAAAAGTGTGATTTTAGAAGTATAATGTATAACTGATATGAATTTCATCATTTCTTATGGATTTTAGGATAAATTTTCTTTTACACTACACCTAACACCATTGTCAACCAGTTTGCTGCTTTTAACAACTAATTCATATGACAAGTATTTCTATAGTACCCATTATGTATAAGGAACTCTGTTAGAAAGGGAGAATATTTACATACATAATAATAAAAGGTACTGTAACAAGTTTTTCAGTGTGTTAACTTGTAGTTTTATGGAATCTGATGAAAAAAGAACTCACTTTTAGGGATGAGGACTTGTTTTGTGGCAAAAGAGATATTTGAACGGAGTCTAGAAGATAAAAAGAAAAGATCAAAGGAAGAGCTTTCTAGATAGCCCCAAATATATATCCCATGAACAGACATACACCACCACTGTGAGCAATTCAAATCATACAATTGTAAGGTTGTAAGTAGTTCCAGGTATGGCAGTATATCAGAGAAGGCCCACAGCAATCAGCCCACAAGGCTGTGTTTAAGGAAAAAGCTATTAAAGAACTTTAAAAGGGGGTGCTGGGGATTTAGCTCAGCGGCACAGCACCTGCCTGGTAAGTGCAAGGCCGTGAGTTTGATTCCTGGTATCAGGAAAAAAAAAAAAACTTTAAAAGGATTAGAGTTAGTTTTAATCTACTTAACAAACATCTCTCAAGCCTCTATTGTGTGTTAGACATCCTTACAAACTGTACAAATATAGCAACAAAGGAAAAAGACATATCCCCCCAAATCTCTGCCATTATTTATTAGTGAGAGATGGATAATAAACAAACAACATAAATAATACAGTATAAATAAAGTAGAGAATCAATTATACATTGGTTGGTTAAGGTGATATCTGAGATCATATTCAAACAAGGAAGCAGACCATATGGGTATCTGAACAAGTCGAATTCCAGGCAGAAGAAATGCTAGTGCAGAAGTACTGAGTATCAGCAAAGCAGCCTGTGTGAGTGAGGGAGAGTACAGAAGCAGATAATGTCAGAAAGGAAAAGGTCACAACATGTAGAGCCTCATAGGCAAGTGTAAGGACTCTGGGTAAAGGTATGTTAACCCTAAGACTGTGCACAAGGGAGTGAGGATAGAAAGTACTAGAAGTAAAGTTAAAAAGCTATTTTCCAGGAGAAAAGGTTCTGAAATAATTCATTCATATGATCCTTCATTCATTTACATTCATTTGGTACATGGTTAGGGGACACTGCTAGACATTGACACTGGAAGTGTGACTGAGACAGATAAATCTCACTGTCATGACGCTGATCATTGTTCTGGTGGAATGCTGTAGAAATACCCCACATGTTGACAAGTTTCTAAAATGCTACGGAAGTTGAGATATTATTATGAATCCAAAAAATATCTATAATTATAGAAGAGAAGATCCTCCCAAATTCAATTACATAAATAATCCTTTGTCTACTTCCTATTTCCTTAGCAATAGCTTTTAATGAAATATTAGCTAATATTCTTATCACTTAATATTTCTTTTGAGAAAAATGATTGGTTATATTTGTATCAAAAATATTAATAAAAATATTCTAAGCAGGGAAGAAAAAAATTGAGCATCCGGGGCTTATCACTCCACTAATGATAATAAGTTACAGAACATAGACTATAAATATAAGTAATTCAAATACAACCACTCATAGGTAGATTAATTTATCAAGCATACAAGAAAGTAAAGATGCATCCAAAATGACCAAGTTGGTCTATGGCCCAGACAATAGTATTTTCCAAACAAATTGCTGATGCATAAAGATATTATCATTTGTGGCTGGATGACTAGCTTTAGTACCCCTATAATGATAAACCTGCTGTCTCAGAGGACAGATAGGGACCAGTCTTTGCTGTCAAACTGTCATAGAATTATTAAATATAGAGGGAAAAAATGATCCAAACAGTATGTAATGAGCTTCCTTTTCATTCTCTTACTACAAAAGCACATCTGTGGATTGCTAATGACTCTGAAATGGATGAATCAAATTGATGAGAAAGAAACACATCTCTCAAGGATAGGAAAAAGGAAAATGAACACACACAATGTTTATAAAACACAATTTAAAATATAAGGGTTTATTAAAGTATTGAAATACTGCAAAATGCCATGCAAAGGTAAGATATTACTGTTCATTTTCCTATTCCTTTCTTTTATGCTTTTAATATCAATTAATAATCTTTAAAAATATACAGTATAGAAATACCAAGACTTTTTTTCAAATAATCTTTGTTTGTGTCTTTTATGAGGTGGTAGTGCAATGCGAGTCTGCTAATTTTTATTCTGCCAGATAAGTTTTTATTAAGCATGCCCTGTGGGCTGCATGACTGTAGAATATGTATCAGGCTTCAGCATTTCAGCTCATATGTGCCATGACCTGCACAGCCAGTGGACTCCTCAGAAGGGACAATGGGAGATCAAGAAAAAATGAGACACATGCTAAAAGGCAAGTTGTGACTGGGTGGGACCCGACCTCTCTGATGGAGAGGCAGCGACAACCCAGCATGGTCTACCTCTTTATTTATACACAGTAAATAGGAGGGAAGTGTTCAATGGAGTCAAAAGTGCAAGACCTCAGTGTTTGGCTGAGAACACTGAAAGTGAAACATTCTCAGAGCTATCTGTGCTATTGTTAACAGGGAGGAACACCAAGGCCAGACACCTGTTGGACTGGCTTTGCTCTAGTCCCACCAACTTGTTTACATGGCTCGCCTCTGGTGCTCCATGTTTTGGGGGCTGGCCTTGCTGCATCTCTGAATGTGTGGATGATCTCCAGCTCAGCTACTCCCCACAATGTGGATTCTGTGTCGAGTCCTGTGGACTGACTTTCTACTTCTACAGTTCTTGCCTCACAAAGACTCACTTGCCCCTGGATCCACATGAATACCATACCCGAGTTCAAAGATGTGACCAATCACAGAACTTTCTCAAACTCAAGTACTAGACAATTGATTTCTGTCCCTCAGTACCTGGTATTGTGTAAGTCTTCCATAATCCTGAAATAAGATGAATGATATTTAAAGGAAGCAGAATGATGTATTCTGAGGAATGTCAGACATCAGCAAGTGCACAAAAAAAATTATCACACTGCCAACCCATACAATAGAGCTCTCTTTCCATGTGAGTTATCTATGCTTAGAAAGCTCAGCGTTGGGGAATTTGGGTTTGTGTTTTAATAATAAAGCAGTGAATCAGTGAGAACCTGGCTTATTACTTGGTTTAAAGATAGATGCGAATCTGAAAACAGTTAACAATCTGCTCATTCTCAGGGCGTATAGGTTAGCTGCAGCATAAAGACAGCACAGTGTTAGGAAAAATAAGATCAACATTTGCAAGCATGAGACTGTATAATCCTGGAGAGGAAATCGCCTTTAACATGCAGATCATCAGCTCTGAGAGTCAGAAGGATGACTGCTGTAAACACCATTGTCCACACAGGGTTTATTTGACATAAATATATATTCCAAGGAAGAGTGATAGGCCATTTAGCACATCATCTGATTCTTTTACAAGTTTGTTAAAAACACTAGCAAACAAAGAAATAGGGGAGTTATTAAAAGATAAATTAAATAGTATATAGCTGACATATATTCACTAGTAACTTCCTACGAGCAATATAGAATGTAGTATTACAATGTTTATAAAAAGAAATGCTATTTTAATATGCCATTCTTTACTTTAAAAATCCACAAATTTAAACATACTTTGCAAGTAACCTTTAGAATAACACTGTCTCTCTGTTCACGCATAGCCATGGAAAATTCCATCTAAGACAACCTGTCTATACAGAATCTAAACTGTATCTTATAAGTTTTGTTAAAAATTTTTAATCATTTTTTGTCTCTTACTTTAAAAAAAAGCTAGCTTTATCTTTACATAAAATGTATTCACAGATCCAGGCCGTATCATAAAAAGCAAGTGAACAATAAATTTGTGTCTCAATTTATGGGTCAATGCATGGATCAATGGCACAATGAAACCCCAGCTTCCATCCTAAGACCCTTGAAGATTATGTGATTAAAATAGCTGCACTTTTAATCAGTTTCTTTCTTAGTATTTTTTATTCTATACCACCCATCCTAGTTGGCTAAATGACTAAGCAACAAGGTCAATCAAATGCAATGTTTCTGTCTATTCAAATATAATGGAAATTTTGACCATTCTGCATTCACAGAGCAAATACATTCTCACAGTGACAACCACATTCCACTGGCTTTTCCTGAAAGCAAAGTGTGACAGATGCCTTGGCTGTAATTGCCAATCAGCCTTTACATGGCAGCTGAAAATACAATACATCACTTTGATCTCCTTTGCTCTAAACACATCCACAATCAAGAAACCTGAACAAGAAATAAGAAATTGGCATCATTTCCAGAAGCTGTCACCTGCAGCACTTAAATACTGTAATGTATATTTTGCTCATTTTCATTTCCATGTTTCAGAGACACTCTGTTAAAGGCCTGAACAAAAAATCAACTACAGTTTTACACACACACACACACACACACACACACACACACACAATATGAATACAAACACATTTCATTAAACATCACCAGCATCATATCACTTTCTAATTTTGCACTCAAGGAATTAAACAGGTAAGAGTTCTCATATGAGTTTATAACAGTGTTCCAAAAAGTTGTGCTCACGTTTTGCAGGCAGGTCGTAGCCACAGGTGATTTTTGCATGTCCAGTTTCACAGCCATTCAGGTTACGGCATTCCGCCAGCAAACAGGGGCCTGCTGCCCTGTGAATGCAGCCATCCACTACGGGAGAGAAAGAGACAAGTTAGCCTAAACTTGAACTTTTGGAAATAAATGTAAAACTCAAGATGGAAGAGAAGAGGAACTTAGTTCCCCCTGCAAACCCATAGCTCCATAGAAGAAAACCCATGGTCCAAGTCATGTGTGTGTGTGTGTGTGTGTGTGTGTGTGTGTGTGTGTTTCGTTTCTATGGTAAGCAGGAGTAGAAGTGTGATAAAAGTGATTGTTGGCAAATGTTAAACAAATTTTCTTTGGTTGAGGGAGTTCCAGATATGTTGCATTTTCCATTTTCACTAATGTAAACACTCCCCCTCCACCCGATTTCGTATTACAAATTCAAAGTCAGTAAACACAAGGCTGGAAAGAAATGCTAAAAACAGTCTCTCCTAGCTGGTAAATGTTAACATACTGCAAGCTTTAGAAGAAAAGAGATCAGAAGGGAAGAAAGGCACTCTGGAACATTTGTGCTCACCTAAAAGTGAGCTGGAAAAATTAAAACTACCCAAATAAAAACCAAATCTCTTCACAGTTTCTCCCTACAGAAGCACAACAAAAACAGATCATGTTTTTGCAGGGTAACTGGCCAGGTGCTAGATAAGGCACAAGGGTAAATTAGGTCTTCGCAAACACCTAGATGACCACTCCCACTCACTTGGCGCAGACTGAAATAGAACTGCTACAGCTCATCTTCCTCTGCTAAATGAGCAGATTGTAGCCCTGGACTGCCTCAGGGGCCATCGGTTCTCTGGCTTCTCACTGGGACTCCTGTCACACTGAGCTTTCATAGTAAAAATCACCTTTGAAAACATGAGTCTAATGTCAACAAAAATTGGAAATGTCTGTGACTGAATTGGGGGTGAGCGCATAGGTGTAGGGGTAAAAGACCACATGCACATAAAGTAGGAGACTGAGAATTTGGGTGTTTGATTATCACTGAATAGGCCTCAAGGACAAAAAAAAAATGAAAGATTGCAAACCAAGGGAACGAGAAAGAAGAAGAGAGTAATAGTAATTTGGAATGTGAAACAGGCCAGATTTTAGAGGTCTGAATATTTCCCCCTCATTCTCCAGTCCATACACAAGGCAACTGATCTTTGCCTTTTATTATTACTATTATTATTATTATCAGCAGCAGCAGCAGAAGTTCAAGGCTGGACAAATCCCTGGCCATGAGGGAAATACAACTTCTCTGATGTCTAAGTTGGTTTCTGTTGCCTTTGAATGGCTTGGAGGTATCACTGTTGGCCGAACAAAGCTAGGGAACAAGCTTACTTGGGCTTTACTATATCACGTGCGTATTTATAAAGTTTATATGAATTTTGGAAATGAATATATTCCAAACTTCTCTAGTCTGCAGTGCTTCACAGAACCTAGGTTGAAATCCAGACTCTTTACTGGTCATGTGATGTTACAAGCTCTAGTTTCTTTATAAACCAGAGTCACAAAAGGTACTACCACACATAGAGCTGCATGAAATTTGAATAATGTTCACAGAGGGCATTCAGCATATTGTCTAACCTAATCTTATGTGCTGCATTGATGATAGTTATTTTAAATATCCTAACAGAATTTTGAAGGAACTTTCCTTGCCTGAAAATGGTAAATATAAAGAGGCAAGAAGAATAGGAAAACTACCATTCTCTCTACAACCCAGAGAACTTCCCAGCACTTCATTGAGCGTTCTCTCATTGTTTGTGCACACATACATTCAAAATTGTCTTTCTTATACAAGAAAAGATTGAGAAAAATTTTTGAATTCTTTCAATCAGCAATTTTCTTTTTTAAAACTTATTATAGAATATGCTTTGAGACCATAATGCTTAGTGAAATAAATCAGACACATACTTAAATATTACATGTTTTCTCTTGTATGAGAAACAAGAGAAAGTATAAATAATGCAAAGAGCAAAATAAAAGATAGATGATAGGAGTCAGGGAGGTACACCTTTTGCAAATAAGATGGAGATCTAGAGATGGATGGAGGGAAGAAGGAAGGGGAGGAAGTAGAAGTAAACAGGATTACGATGTGATATGTGCATGTGCAAAATCCCCTGTTATGTATCCCAAATATGCACTAGTAAAATTATTACTTTAAATTATTATAATACATGCACAACATATATGTATAAGAATGTCACAGTTGACTACAACAGTGAAAACTTGGAATTACTCAAGTGTTCACCAATAGTGAACTTGTTAAATAAATAAAAGCTTATCCATAGCAGAGATTAGTATGAGTTGGTTATTAAAAAGAATAGACTGTTTGTATAGGAAAACAGACTCTTAAACATGAAAGATTTCCAAGTGAAAATGACAGATTTAGAGGAGTGTATAGAGTATTATCACAATTTTAGTTATAGTCATGTAAGCATGTATGTATACAGGTATGTATGTTTACATGTGTATGAACTGGAAAGATATATAACTTTATGGGATTATGTTATGGGAAGAAGAGGGTTGAGACTTGGATATAATTTATGTTCTAATTTCTCTGAATTTTTAAAATAACAGCTTCAAGAAAAGTAGTTTTATGAATAGTTTTTCTAAGTACAGTTAATTATTTAGTTTGAAATGGATAAGTAGAATACAGTTTGCTAGTGTACTTAATTATATACTGTCAAATATTGTCTGTGTTATTTAGATTGCAGCCTAATATAGTTTGCAGATATCTAATTCTTAAAATCATTGTGGTTATACCATTATTCCTACATTAGGGCAATGAATATCTAGCTGAAGAGATATGTAACAATAATGGTCGTAGCTTAAATGCATTGAATGCAGCTACATGCTAGGTACTACACGAGGACAACTTTTTAAGGGAAACACTAAGTTTATCATCCTCATTTTATGAATGCTTTGATGTTAGTAACTTGCTTACATTCACAAAGAATTGGCAATGTGATTGAAAGCCAAGATTTGTCTGATACAGAGACCATGTTCTACCACTATCATTCACTTCCTTGGGTCTCAAATCCAGCTCTTATGTGAGCTCGTGAATTTGACTTATTGAACCACTATGCTACATTTTTTTATTTTCATCATTATATTTATGAATTTTAATGTACTTGCAATAAAAAATTTTAGTTAGTATATGTTTGCGATACATAGTAATTACATTCATAATGGGAAATTGGTACATATACATGGCACAGATGTTCAGTATAAAGTTATGATGCATTTTACTTTATTTTTTATTGGATGCAATTTAACAAATGTGTATGATCATGTTACTGTGATGTCTGTAAAGATACTAAATATTTCAACCCAAAACATTCTCTTATGTTCTCTTCATTCAAATTCCTTTCTCACCACCCAGGAAGGAGCCCTTATTTTGATTTCAGTAACCATTGCTAAATTTTAGATGTTATATAACTTTAAACTTCAGACAGCACTTATTGTCTTTTACTCAACATTTTCTTTAAAATCATCTTTGTTGCATGTATTAGGACATTATTCCTTTTATTTTTATTAACATTCAACTGTTGAATATACCACAATTTCTTTATTTATTCATCTGCAAATGTATTTAAGATTATTTACAGTTTTACTTATTAAAAATAAATCTGAATACTGTACCAGTCTTTTTGTGGCTGTACTCTCATTTCCCTTGACCAACAGTTATGAATGAAATTTCTGGGTAGGTATTATATATATTTTACCTTATAAAGAACTAACATAGTTTTCCCAATTGATTATACCAGTTTATGCACACCCATAGCAATGTTTGAATGTTCAAATTTTGGTATTCCTTTAGTTTGGTCAGCTTTCTTAATTCTAGCAATCCTGATAGCAATAAAGGATTAATTTACATTTCTCTGATAACTAACGGTGTTAAGTATCTTGCCAAGAGATTATTGGCCATCCATCTATTTCTTTTTGGAAGTGTCCCTTCATGTCTCTTACTCATTTTTATTATCTTTTTATTACTGAGCTGTATCAGTCAGGGTTTTACTGGAGAAACAGATATAACACAGGATATACAAATTATAAGAAATTTCAAGATTGGCTTACGACGGTCAGCCAGAGAGTTGTATGGGGAAGTGTGCAGAGGGTGTCTGCACACTGAAGACCGAAGGAATCAGCCCAGGGTATGGAGTTCACTGCAGAGTTCCGTGCAAGTCCGTACCAGGAGGCCGATGAGTCTGCGATGGAAGGCTGAAGGACCCAAGGTGGAAGCCGAAGAGTCTGCACTAGAAGCCAGGAGACGAAGTCCAAGCTGAAGGTGAAGACTGGAGCTCCTCCAAAAGGAATGCAAGTACCTCTGTCCTTCTTCATTTCCCTTTTATGTTATCTAGGTGATGATCCACCGTAGGGTGGCTCCTCTACGCCCTAGGGTGTAGAATTGCTGGGCCAACTGCTGAACCAAGTTTACTTATGCTTCTAAACTTCTCAAGTTGACATAATCAATCAACCACTACATGAGCTGTGTTAAATTTGCCATTAATTTCATCCATTTTTTTTCAAATTTTTCTGGTTCTTTGAAATTTCCATTTTTTTTTCTGTTTTCATAGCAGTTCTAACACTTCCCATCTCCTCAGCCATTTTATGTAATCTTGTCATGTAATTTCCTTAGCAGATTTTGTACAATGATTTTAAAGTGTAGATCTGTCAATTCTAATATCCACATAAACACCAGGTCTATTTATATTGATCCATTTTTCACTTAACTCTGGGTCACATTTTCTTGTTTCTTTGCATATCTAGTAACTGTTGATGACACACTGTAAATGATGAATAGTACATTGTAGGAGCTTTACATTCTGTCATCTTCCTCTACATAATGTTGAAGTTTTCTCTAGTAGGCAGGTAAATTACTATCCAACAATATGGAGGCTATATTAAGGTTGGTCTATTTCAGTTGTTTTTCCTAATACTAGAATGTATTCTAGCTCTGGTTTTTCTTCAGATCATACAAATCTTTCACCTTTTAGAATGTATTCTTTGGACCTAAAGCATGGTCATTCTGGGGTATCAATTGAAAATCAAAGGTTTTTGGCAAACCC